GTTTTGAGGATAAATCTTCCGGGCCTGAAGTTGCTGCCAGGTAGTACAACATGGCATACACCACCAGGAGATTTACTCAACCCTTCTAAGCCTCTGTTTCTCCATGGACAAAACAGGGTTGATGATATTAAGATTAGTGACTCAGAGGGTTTTTGATGATTAAGTGAGCTACTGCAAGAAAGCACTGAGAAAATGTTAGCTCACATGATATTTTAAGTTAGAAAAGAGTTTGGAATGGAAGTGGGACTGCTTCTGAAATCCTTTTGGGAGGAACTGCTGCCTTATCTGTGTTACCAGGAGTGACAGTGTTTGAATTTTTGTTGCGAGATGTGTTACCATGTTGACTATTAAGCAACTAAAGTTGTTTAACAAGAGTTTAGTAAGCGACTGTTCAGAGAGTGTAGATGCTTAATGACGTTTGAAAAAGGAAGCTCAGTCTGTGTTCTGGAAGAATCTAGAGTTTGGTGGGATAGATATGGCTCAGGTGTGGGACTCCACGGAAAACAAACATACCTTTTTTTGCAGCAATGCAAGGCAGTTTGAGAGACTCTTCCTTTGGATTGTGGGAAATGTTGGGTATAGATTTCTAAAATTGCCTTCTAAGACAGACTCTTTGTATCCATCAAAATGTGAGATTAGATGATGCTAATGAGGTCGCCATGAAACTGCCCCATTTTAACACATTAACTTGCTGTGACATTTGGAAGGTGATTTTGAGTCTACATAAAGAGCCTCAAAAATGCTTATGGTCTTGATCCAGAGCTCTACCTTTGGAAAGCTGATCCAAAATTATTTGAACTAACGAAAAATAAAAAAGCTACACACTAAAAGATATTCTCTGTAGTGTAACCCATAACAAAGGGAACTTGAAAGCTCTTTCAATGGTTGGTGATAAACAATTATTAAAATGAAAATTAAACCTTCTTGGCAAGGAACAGGTTGTATTTGGGACCCATTTTGCAAATAGAGGGAGTTGAGACCAAGAGACAGTCATAAACTTGTTGCAATAAGTGGAGACAAATGGAACTAGCTCTCCTTAATCCTTGCTCAGGAATATTATTTCTCTCTTAAACAAACTACCTTCTTGCTTCTAAGATGCTGACCTACAATAAATGCCAACTGTCAGTGCTACACAGCCATGGAAGCCCAAGGAGAATGACTTGGAATATGTGAGTAAAGTTCATGTTTTCAAGAGCTTTTCTTTTTTACTACTGGTAGGCCAGTTGAATCTTAGGAAAACAAACTTATTTGTGTCAAAAAACTCACAAGAATAAATTCAAGTGGTAGATTGGCATGGCCTCTTCATATAACACTTTTGTATCAGGTGTCAAAGGAAATAGGTGAAAAGTCCAATTGTCTGCCAAATTTTAATACTGGTCAAACATCCCTAATTCAAGAATCCAAAATCTGAAACTTTTTTGAGTGCCAACATGACACTAGTGAAAAATTCCACACCTGGCCTCATGTGATGGGTTGCAGTCAAAACAAAATATTGTGTAAAATTATCTTCATGGTATGTGTATAAGGTGTATGTCAAACATATGTGAATTTCGTGTTTAGACTTGGGTCCCATCTCCAAGATGTCTCCTTATGTATTTGCAAACATTCATCTGAAATCCAAAACACTCTGTTCTCAAACGTCATCTAAGAGATGCTCTGCCTGTAGTAGCTTCTCAGCACAGCGTCATGGTCGCATTTGACTAAACTAGAGTCGTAAAGCACATGTGGGTGTGTGAGGTTGAAAAGCCCATGATCAGTGACACTGGCTTTGGGGGCTAGGGTGGTTACATTAGTGTATCAGCTAGGACTCAGAAAGGACAGAAAACCTGATAAAAACTACTTTATCAAAGAAATACAATTTGAAAACATAAGTGCTAATGTAGTAACTGACTTATGCTGAAAACTCTGGGGTTAAGCTTATTTTAGGCATGGCTGAACTGGGGCTCAGCTGATATTTTCAGGACTCTCTGTGAATCCATCTCTTGGCTCTGCCTTCCTTGGTGTAGGCTTCAGCCTCAGCTGCACGTGAAAACAAGATGGCAACCACAGCAGCAACTCCAGCCTTAACTGTTGTCTAAAGTTTCAGGGCCAGTGAGTAAGAATAGGAGTTATAATCCTAGAAGTCCAGAGAAAAAGTCCGATTACCTCCATTGGCTGTATTTGGATCACATGGCCACTCAGAGGGCAATTCAGTAGTCTGATGGGCATAGGCCTGTATCAGGTGCCTCTAGAGTGAGGCAGGGTATATGGAGTCAGTTTCATGGGCAACAAAAAACCACAAGAACAACAGTTCTTTAGGAATGGAAAGGGACGGCTTTAAAGAAGAAATAAGGACACATTGACTAGACAGAGTGAATGAATGCCAAGGCAACAAAATCAACAGATGTCCACTACATTTGGGATGTTGTCATTTTATTCTAGCATTGCTGGGAAAAGCCAACGAGAACAAATTCATCAAAATCACACACTTGCACTGAAGAGAAGAGACACATGAATTTAACAAGCTCAGCCTCTTCTCTAAATAGAACATAGTTTATACTATCTAAGACAGATGCTTGTTTATTCTGTGCTGAGTACCCTCCAGCCAAGAGGATTCCAGACTTCCTCCCTCTGCAGATTGGTGCCGGCTTTGCAACTCTTATTAGAGAGAAACTTGGTGTGTGTGGGGGAAATGCATTTAAAATGGAGCAATAAATATGTTTGTAAGAAAGCTAAGGGCTATGTTATTTCACAATTCTGGAATTCATAGCAATAAAAAGTAAGTAGTCTTATTGGCTCTAAGGGGGAGAATCTTCTCATCTATGAAACAACTTGATTTGTAAAATTTTGACATCTTGAGAGATTTTTCCCTGTAGCTGTATTATAACAACTACTCATGTTTTTTATTGTATACTATTCTGTTGGGTCTTGTGAGACAAGAAATTACTTGCTGCATTTAGTTTCTGTGTGATGGGGCTTTTCTATAATTTGCATGTCCTTTGGTATATTATTAATTCATACCCTTTTAGAAATGCAACTGTGGAAGCAATTTTTATTAAGATTTCATATAACACATAAATTTGATATAATTGGCCTGAGGCCTTGTTTACTCAAATTGCCCATGTCAATGCTATTTCATGGGTTTTAAAAGTAGTACAAATTTGGGGAACTGGCCTCTAATGATGAACAATTAGAGATGATTTTTGATCACTGGAAAACACTTGTTTCCAACATAGGTGAAATCAATTCTTCTATGAGCTGTTATCAATGGTAATTTAATGAAACTAATCTTTATGAGTTAAAAAAGTACATTTATGAGCTTGCAAGTCTGGTGGATTCTGATATAGATGAGGTGGTACCTAGGAACTGGCAAACTTCAAACAAATTTGGGAGTGATTTTATGATGGACAATATCAGTTTTTGAGTTCCATGGTTCTACTCTGGTTACAGAGTAGTATCAGTTATCATATATAGAGCTCCATGTCTGTATTCTTTAACATGGTCTAGCTATCCTGTGTTGGGCTAAATTCTTAGAATAAAGTATGCACAAAAAGCATGCCATGCTAGGAAAGAGTTAAGCAGGCAACTGTATGCAGTGTAATTCAGGGGATTTTTTAAGGATCCTACTTAAAGATTAAGATTTCACAGAAATGGCCCATAACAGGTACTCAAAAAATATTTATTCGATGAAGGGAAAAACAAATGGATAAATCAGAGTAAAGTTATTTTGAAGACAAAACCAAAGAGGTATCATTTAGATATTCATCTCAATTTACTTCCCTCACTTCTAGAAGGCTCTACTTTCAGCAGGTTTATAGCAGTAACAACTGTCATTAAAGACTGTCAGGTATTGTGATGCTTCCAAAGGGAGATATCATCTCACCCCAGTTAGAATTACTATTATTAAAGAAAAGGTTAGCAGGATGTAGAGAAAAAGGAACTCCCATATACTACTAGTAGGGATGCAAATTAGTACACCATTATGGATTATATTATGGAGGTGCCTCAAAAAACTAAAAATAGAATTATCACATGATCCAGATATCCCACTTCTGGGTATATATCCCAAAGAAATTAAATCAATATATCAAAGAAATACCTGCACAGCCATGTTTGTCATAGCATTATGCAGAATAGCTAAATATGGATTCAACATAAGTGCCCATCAAAAAGGATGAATGGGTAAGGAAAATGTGATATATACCCACATACAATGGACTATTGTCCAGCCATAAAGAAAATGAAATCCTGTCATTTACAGCAAAATGGATAGAAACTGGAAAGCCTAATGCTATGTGAAGTAAGCCAGATACAGAAAGACAAGTACTACATGTTCTCTCTCATATTTGGAAGCTAAAATGAAAAGTAACCTGAAAGCAGAATAGTGACTACTAGAGGTTTGGAACAGATGGGATTGTGGGTGGATAAATGGAAGCTGGGTTTGATTAATGCTCACTGTATCCATGTGTTGAACCCCATTAATACACTGAAGATCATTACTACAATTAATACATGTTAATAAAAACTAAAATGTAATAAATCAAGAATATTATACTGGGACTCAGAGGAGAATTTGTATGCCACCTTCCCAAGAGTAAAAGTAACTGAATAGTGATAGAACTTTCAAAAATACATGGAATTAGCTCCCTGAATTATGGAAATAAAACAGTGTTCTTTGTGCCGCCATTTTGGCAGAATTTCTGTCTTATAGAGATACCCATAACCATCTTGTTTCAGTAATTAGTGCCCCAAATATATTAATTCCAGAGGATTCCCGAGTTGTACTAGCATGTGAATGGCCCCCCAAGGAATGTGTGACCCAACACTTTCATAGTTATTCTACTCAACACCTATTGTTGAATTTTTTGTTCATCCAAAACCTCAGTTCTTTAGGACTTGGTCTATTTTTCTCAGATTTCAATCTTGTATTAACTAGTAGGTTTGCAAAAATGTGTTGCCATAAATTAATGCTTTATTTTTACTTTTTCTCTGCTTGTCTGGTTTGTGGGGCTGGAATGTAGGAAGAAGAATTCCAAGAAGAACCTAAGTGCCCTGAGGTGGAACAGAAGTTGACATCAGGTAGAGTACTTTCAGTGTGGTTCCTTCTTCATTGGGCAGCTGTTGCTGACAGCAGGGCTCTGGGCATCCAAAAGCTTTGCAGATTGCAAAGAAAAATCTGTATGTTCCAAATGATTGGAACTATGACTAGAGATGTCACTTGTGATCCATTCCAGGCCCCACATCTGGGCAATCTGGTCACAATGCAGAAAATAGCTTGCTCCCTTTCTTTGTCTTTTTTTTTTAATTGATTACAATTCTTGATGAAAAAACACTTGTGAAGTAGATGCTGATGAAGAAATTTTAGCTTTAGAAAAGCTAAAATAAGGAAGGAGTGCACTGGTTATTTACTGAAATACTTATGATTATTTTGGAAAAGATAATTTAGATAAGTTTGCTGGTTTTTTGATGTGAGTGTGTAGTCAGATATGTAGGTTTGCTAAAGTGATTTATCCCATTTCAGGACTTATGTGGAATGAAACCAATAATGAGAAAGTTTATAACTTAATGTAAAACGAAGATCAATGATGAAAAGTAACTCATAAAAATAAGCATTAGTTCAATGGACCTCATAATGCTGAAAGCTAAATTTTGATTCTCTCATTTTCTGTTTTGCAACTGCTTTTAATTTTGTGTTTTACGTGACTCGGATTTAAAGATGGCTCCAGATGTGTTCACTGCTGGGAGAGGCTCATGTTCTTAAAACTTAATGGAAATCAGGGAGTAGGGTTAAGAAATTGGATTAGACCTGTTCTCCCCCTGCCTGGTTGCCTTCACTCCCACCAAGAGCAAATGCTGCTTTAGTTTATTGCCTCTTCCAGGACACACTCCTCTCCTGGATTCTTGTATGTCTGGCATATCACTATCAAGCTGAAAATACAGTTTCTCAGTGTTCCTAAATTTGCTTAAGTACACTGTTTTGGGCTTGCTATAGAGTTTCTCTTCTTCCTCCTCTTCCTTCTTCTTTTTGTGGTACTGGGAATTGAACTCAGAGCCTCATGCTTACTAGGAAATCACTCAACCACTTGAGCCATGTCACTAGACCCTTTTGCTTTGAGTTTGCTTTTCAGATAGGGTCTCATGTTTTTGCCCAGGCTAGTCTAGGACTGTGATCTTCCTGTCGGTTTCCCAAGTAACTGGGATTACATATGTGTACTACCACAACTGGCTGAGTCCCTCATCTGTATTCAGGATTTCTTCCCAAATGGGTGTTTCATATTGTGTCTTTTGTATACTTGTGTCTGTAGCTTTTAGTCTATTTGATTCAGATCTCCCATATTTATGAACCACTCCTTAAAATCCTGTTATATATAAAGTAGTAGGCTGTGTTTGCTAAATTATTTGAAAAGTATGAATATGTAATATACTCATTCAAGAAACATATGTCGAATGTCTACTGTGTGCTAGGAATTGCACTAGGACTTATGTTATATTAAGAGTGATAATACAATAACCATGACTATATGCCTCACGGAGCTTAAGGGCAGGAATAAAGGCAACCATTAAACAAATAAAAAGAAAATGTATATTACAAGTGATTGCCTTTAAACAAGCAAAATGTACATGATAAAGAGCAGAGTTCTGTGGGAGTCTTGCCTTCAGAGAGCTTATACTAGAATAGAGCTTGGAAATTATGAGCACAGAGAACCATGACAAACGTAGAATTACTACATGCCAAAACAGAAACAAGAGTAGGGCACTTGGGAGCACTGAAGAAGTGACATGAACCAAATGAGGGGTGGGGAGGGGATTTGGGAAGTTCACCAAGAGAATGCAATGTAATAGCCAGGTCTTTAAGGACAGAGCTGAAACTAATTTGTGAAGGGAGACACGATAGACAGGTATAAGGGAAGACCAAGCATCATTAACTAAATCCAAATTGATGTCCACTTGAAGTTCAGCTTCCTTTGGGCTGATGACCTAACTCTGAAGCATCTGCTATCTTATTGTGAGGTGCATAGTTTATACTTGCAGGGACAATCCAAGGGAGCAATGACAGTTCCTTGGGAGCCCATTTAATCTTTACCACTATCGTTATCTGTCCTTTGATCTCTAATAATTCAGTATTTGTGTACATTTGAGGGTTTCTTAGTAAGTGACCTGCATGTAATAGATAGAATCCCAATCCCTACCTTGTGTCAGGTGGTAGTCCTCTTAGACTCCACAGAAGTCTAGCGAGGTGGGAAGGGCAGCCCCTTCATAACACATTCCTTTTCATGATGTAGCATTGGCTGCTCTTCACTGTTTTAGAAGAGAAGTGCTAAACAGGTTGGGCAGGTAGATGAAGTTGATCTTTCCCCCCAAGCTTACCCTTCCTATGCCCTGCTCCTCAGGGCACTCATTGGAGTTCCCTTCTCACCTCCTTTAGTTCCCAGTTTCTCTACCATCAGAAAGGCATGCAATCAGGCCTTAGACCTTGGTACGTTGTATCATCTCCTTTTAGACTTACTGGTATTCCAAACCTCATAGCTACCAAGGGAATGAAAAAATGTGGTGGCTGTTAAATGGATTTTAAACATTAGGAAATAGGCAAAGAAGGACAGAGTGTGAGAGTGTGGGATGTTTGGAAAAGATACTTCTGGTGGCCATCATGCCATATGGTTCATCACTTTCTCACCCTGAACACAGGAAGGCCCAGAATCATGGGAGCAATGGAAAGCTTCTTTAGACTGTATGCTCTCCCAAAGCAGGGACTACATCTGTTTAAAATGAAGTCAGATCCTTTATTGAAAGGCACCATTTTAAAGATGCACTGCATCTTTGGATATAATATTCAGTGTGAAAATAAAAGAAAAGATACAAAACTGAACCTGGGTTATGTTTATAACCAGCACAGGGTAAAGGAAGAATGAGATTATGAACCCATGAAAAACGGTGACATGTTGGGTGGAGGCCTTGTGGAAGAAAGTTCTCCATAATTAAGAGTTCCTTTGATATAGACTGGAGACTGTTTTGATAATAGAGAATAAAACAAAGATGTTTACTAGTAGTGGCAAAGAGGAGGCCATAAAGAACAGTGTGTTATCAAGAAGGCACAGTTTGAAGCCTGATGGCCTGACTCTGTGAGGACAAGCCAGTTATTGGAAGTAGTAGAACAGTTATTGGAACAGTATACAGGTCTCACCAGGACTTAGGCCTCATTTCTCAGCAACTGCTAAGTCGGACATATTCTTTGTGTATAAATCAGGGTTCTCCAGAGACACAGAACCTAGGATATAGTTTTGGTAAGAGATGTATAATGCATAACTGGCTCATGTGATTTTGAAGGCTGACAACTCCCATGATCTCTCACCATAAGCTAGAGACCCAGGAAAATGATGGTGTAACTCAAGTCCAAATCCAAAAGCCTGAGCACCAAAGGAGCCATTGGCGTGAGTCCCAGTCCAAGGGTATTGGAAAACTGATGTCCCAGCTCATGCAATCAGGCAGGAAGCAAGAGGGTAAAATTTTCTCCCTCCTCTGCCTTTTGTTCTGTTCTGGCTCATAAAGATTAGATGATGTCCCCAACACTGAGGAAGGCACAGTGCACCCACCAGTTCAAATGCTAATTATCTGCAAACACCTTCACAGACACACCCAGAAATAACATATAACCTGGGCTCCTCTTGCCCAAGCCAAGATGACATACAGAATGAACCTCACACTCTCTCTGGGTAGCCTCTTCTGTTGGCCTTTCAGTGTAATGTGTTCCTTGCCCTGAGCTTTCAATGGTCACTCTGCCTTTTACTTTTAATTTTTTATTATCATATTATAGTTGTATTGGGGCTATATTGTGACATTTACAATATATCTTAGTTAAATTCACTCTGTCATTCTTATTTATCCCCCCTTACCCCATTCTTAGAATACTTTCAACAGGTTTCATTTTTCTATTTTCATGCATGAGTACATGATATTTCTATCATATTTCTTATATCCTCCCCCCTCCCACTGGTAGCAACTCCCAGACAAGACCTGTTTCACCTTCCTGTTTTGCTTTTGGAAGAAAGGAGACATTTTTGTTTAAGATAGCTAAACAGAGAGTGCCATTTTGATATTCCCATGTATATATGTACGTATCCCAAATTGGTTCATCCCCCTCTATTTTTCTCCTTTCTACCTTGGTCCTCTTCTTATGATGATTTCAGCATATTCATTCTTGTATAGAAAGTGTATCACCCATATTCACCTTCTTTACTTCCTTCTTGTCCTTTGTTGTTTAGGTGTCTGTTTGTTGGTCAGTGGGATTTTGCCTTGGTATTATACCTGCACATGCATAGTGCTTAAGTTATTGTCACCCCCTCTGTAAAGGATGAGGATCCTTTACCGCCAATCCTGTGTTGTTTTACAGTTTTCAGAGTGTTTCCTTATGTCTTGTTCCTACACAGATGTGATGTGTTTCATTATTATTTGCTATTTGCGTTTTATTTTAGAGAGGAAACTTTAATGTCAAACCTTCATTTAACCTCTTTCTATTCCACTGGAAGATCAGATCGTAGAACAGCAGACCAAGCACCATGCATACATACAACAGACTATCACTTTGGAATGAAATAGAAATGTTCAAGAGACTCAGAGTTATATCTGACATAAAGAAACTACAGATCTTGCCCTTACTAATTTTATCTGTAGCTAAATTAATAGAAATTAGGTACCCATTGTGTAGAGAGAGAGAAGGAGATGAGTGACCTTTGGAGGTGGCAAACTATATCCTCACTTATTTATTCACCCCCTTGTGGGTGTGGAGATTGATGAATGGGCCAACTTTGCTTTCTTGAGAGAATTCTTTTTGAAATGAGTTGCATCCTTTCTGGTAGCTGTTTCAAAAATTTTTTAAAAAGGAAAGAAAACAAGCAAAATGTGTTTAGAAAATGTTGGCTTTGTCTTGACATTCCTCTGGCCCACCCATTGATTTAGAAACAGACCAAGTTAGTGCTGCATGTGGTGGAACACATCTGTAATCCCAGCATGAGAAGGTGAAGCAGGAAGAGGATAATGAGTTCAAAGTCAGCCTGGGCTGTATCTCAAGGCTCTGTCTCAAA